GGAATGGTACAAGTTAGGGCGAGGTTCAGATCATCGTTCACAGGGTTCCTGAGTTCTAGTCCACTCAGCGGCACCTAGCAAAACATTTTCACCCTTGATTTGCCTAACTGCCAGTTCCTGCCAACTTCTCTTACTCAAGTAATCAGAGAATTTTTTCAAGATAATTTTTCATGATTTGGCAGCTGACCCTAGGAACATGTTCATAGGACCCATTATTTGTATTACTGCTCATAATCTAGCAGAGAAAATAAGAAAACAAAGAATTGCAATGCAGTTTGAGAAATGCTAACAGCCATCAAGTTTGCAGCCAGCACATCACAACGCCATCCACAATGAAACAAAATGCTACCCAGATCCACGGCACCCCACGACGACAGGCCGTTGAGTTACTGATTTTCAGAGGTAAATTACCAGGTTTTTCTCCCTGGTCTGTTTTGTAGAAACATATTCAGCCACATGCAAACCACCAGTGGCATGATATGGTGCACTTACCAGGACATGGACCAGGGTCCCCTACATGGAGTCTAAGCCTTTCACTGCTGACCCATCAATGTCCCACAGGGTGCAATGGCAGCACAGAAGGGTGAGCAATCTTGTTTCCTCTCTGGCCAGAGTCTTATCAAACTGGTAGAACTGTGATAGGTGGGACCAGTCAGAGGAAAGCATGGTATCACAGTGCATTTGGGAAACCGCCAGTGCTGTGTAACACACTGGAGAAATGAGGGGAAAGAAGACTAGAGGGGATGTTTGTACATGAAGGGCCTTTATGTCCCATGAAAAAAAGCAACTAGCAGCCAAATGGAGGGAACTTTAGAGGGGCCAGGTCAGAGGTAGTCTCAGATGACACACTTTTTGTTATGTGCTATTGAGTCAGAACTGACTCAGCTGATCCTCCAGCGGGTTTTCAGAGGCAATAACTGGCCCAGGAGATTGCCCAGCCTTCCATCACCAGGTAGCTGGTGGATTCAAACCAAATGCCTTTGAGTTCACAGTTAACTAAGTTCTTTCCCACCAGGCACGAGAGACAATCCCAAGGCTGTTAATTATGGGACTAGAAAAAACCCAATCGTGGCAGTGGGGGGGGGGGGGAAGGAGGGCTGCAGAAAGGTTGTAAGGTGCAAAGAAAAGGGATGAAATTCAATTAGGGAAACAATTATCCAAAGGACTAATAGACCATGTGAACCTCAGCTACCACTGAGAGCAGACTATATGGTGCCCAACTACCACATGCCTCGAAAAGGAATCTATTACTGGATAATTCCGTACTGGATAATGTAAGGGGGGTAATAAGGAACAAAACTCAAAATCTAAAAAATATTAGCTTACAGGTTTGACAGAGACTGGAGGAACTTCTGAGACGATGTCCCTCTGTCACCCTCCAAGCCTGGAACTGAGTTTAGCTGAGGCTTTGCTCCAAACAAGACAAGGCTTGTAAGGTGTACACCACTGGTTGGGACTTACACACTTACCCATCATTTCACATCCAAAAGGCAGCATTTGCTTAGGGACAAAGTCCAGAAGGAAAGAAGTTTTAGGAAAAGAGGATTAGAAATGAGAAGCACAAGATGAATGCTACTACCTTGTGGAGGCTACAATCAGTAGCATCAAACAAAATGGACAGGAATTGAATGGGAAATTGTTCTACATAAACCTTCACAAAACTGAGGGCAGGAAGGAAGCAGAGGCAGTGGGATGAAGCAGAGTGCAGCGGATATCCACTTATCCTTCAAAGCACATCTAATCTCCCTAACATGCTTGAGACAGAGGACTCTCTTTTTACACAGAAGAAAACAGAAGCTCCAAAGAATGTTACTCGTTGGGAGTTGGGAGCCTGGGGTACTGCTTGTTGCTGTTGTTAAGTGCTGGTGACTCATAGTGACTCTATGAACGAAAGACCTGAACGCTTGTATAACTTTCATCCTTTCTCCAGGTTCACAAGGTTTCCAGAGGCTAATTATTGTGGAGCTGGATGCCACTCCTGCTTCCAAGCTTGTTTTAATCGGGGAGCTCCACCATACACTGTCCACCATGGGTAACCATTACTGCACTTGACTCATCAGTGTCAGTGTTCTATATCACAGCAACCACGAGTTACCCCTATATGGCAAGTGGACAGACCAGGGCTACACGACTTAGAAGAATGTCTGACTACAAAAACCTCAGGCCCTACAGTATTTTACGATCCTGGCATGCCCAAATGCTGGCAGACTCTGGGCCAGAGACCCCCAATTCATCTGTCAAGTCTCCTCTGCGGACACCCACTTGGGATGAAAAGAAAGCCAAAAGAGGCCCGAGCGTTTCATACGTGTCCCTCCTCAAGATGTGAGAGGCCATCCTAAGGTCCAGGTGGAACCGAGATTCACAACACACTAGTCCTCACCCCTCAGCCTATAGGCATGGCCAAACATTTCAGTATTTTACAATTCAGTGCTAAATGTCAATGCCTCTGAAATATGAACAGGTATAAACCAACAAGTTAAATGGTTCACAACTCATTCTGGCCTCTTTCATTCCGAATTCATTCTGAACTTCATTTCCCCTTTTCACAGGGAAGCAAAGTGTAAAGATGCTCCAGCACCTTCAAGATTTTAACACTGATTTTAGCCATGTACAATCTTAGTAACATACCCACATTCTGATGTTATCCTGAAGGCGTAATTTAGACGTTACTCAATTAACTACATCAGCCAAAGTTTAAAGTTTAAAGGGGACATTATTAACCTGAAAAATCCCCACACTTCTTTAAAAGGAGTTGTGTACGAAAGGGTTGAATGCTTTATAGACAAGATAAAAAACCCGCATGACAACCAACTCACCATCTTCTTTTCTCGGCTTCGACAGCCCTGTGGCTGCAGTGGGCTTGCCTTTGGCCCTGCAGGCGGCAACATTCTTCTACTTCTTTGGTTTAGCAGCCTTCTCTCAGAACGCTGCACATTTTCGGCTGGTGGTATTCCACCTCTCTCCCAGCTTCTTCACAGCGTCACCAATAGAAAAGCCAAGGTGCTCACCCACACAGCCTTTGATTCTGGGACAAAACTCAGAATAAAACAAGAAAACGGACAAAGGGGGCCAGAAGTGCATGTTGGGACCTTAGAATCTGTTTTGCCCTTAGGAAGGATATAGGTTTTCATCTCTCTTTATAGGCCTCGTCTGCCTTTGTCATGTCTTTTAAATTACCTTTCTCTTCAGCGGACGGGGTCTTCCACCTGAGTTCTTAGAAAACTCTTGAGAAGTTGACAGAAAACACCCAGGCACTGTTGCTTCTGCTCCTCTGGGCAGGTATGCACGAATAATGCATACAATGACATCTTGCCTCTCGGCTTCTTAGATCTCCTCTGCCCAGGGTTAGTTTTCATCTGTGAGGTATAGTCACCAAGTGTCATCCAGTTCAGATTGGCCCACCACTGTTTGTATGCTCAATATACTGCAATCAGATTACACTTTTCAAACACCTTTCTCAATCATTTGGAAAATTCAGTGTGTTCTATACACACACACACACACACTCTCTCTCTCTCTTAGGAGAAATCATTCCGCTTTCAGCTTGGTATTTTAAACAAAGTCATTTACACCTATTTATTTGTAATATTAAAACTTCCCTGTAAGTAAAGTTATAGTTACCTATCAAGATTAATTTTTCACTACTGACAATTAAAAGTTATAGACTGTTTAGATACTACCACCGACCGAGTTACAGAAAAGTTCCATAACAGAAATCTGATGCCCGATCCTTTAATATGAAAGCACTCTCACTAGGTTTTCAAATTATCAAGTATAAAGAGGGTGAGGCTAGGAATACTTAAGATGAGGCATTTTAACAATCACTCAAAAAGGCTATCAAGTGTACAACAATGTAAATCAAAATGTTTTGATTATTTTAAGATGTGATCTGTGATGTGCTATATAAGAGTGTTACAACTTTATTTCCTGTCCTCCTGCTATCAGGTGACAGGACATACAACCAGGAAATATCCAGGATATAGACACTACCACAGACCACCAGTTAATGCGCCAACATACGTACAAAGGAAGTAAACATTATCTAATGACACTTGGGGGGGGGGGGTGTGCAGAAAGTATTTCAGCACTGATACTGCATAATTTTCTCATTAACATGGATAAATACATTGATCTCCCATAGGCAAACTATTTATCTACTGTATTCCAAGACAAAAATTCCCTCAGGTGGAAATACACTGTATTATTTAATTAACTGAATCACAATTTAGACAGTTTTACATATTCTCTCAAGCACTGAGTTTTTTTAAAGTACTAAGAGAAACTAAATAAAAATTAGATAGACTGCAGTTCTCTAGATTTCCGCTTCAAATGACAAAATGTAGGAAAGACCAGGCATTTTTGTTGTGCCAGAATTTTGCAGATCTTGTAAACACATATATTGGCCAAATCATCTCAAAACTCAAATACTGTTCTATTACCAACACTGCATATTATGGTAACTAACATAATAAACACTTGATTAAAGATAGCAAAATTTTTTATTCAATTGCATTAACAATATTGTACCTTTTCTTAACTTCCAAATTTCAACATTTACTAAAGAAAAGAATAGCATCAAATGTTTAACGCTTACCTTGAATTTTAAATCACAAGGTAAGAATTTGTGGTCTAATGAAACATTTTAAGTAAGAATACTTTAATCACGTATCCTGCCCGTTTATTTCTGCTAGACAGTAAATACCTTTTAGTAAACATAAGCATTAGTACTCATTTAAACATGGTCAGTTGTTCCATGTCCATTTATTCTGATCACTTGCATTTTAAGTAAAATTGACAATATTACACTTTAAGAAGGTGTTTTTTTGAGAACTGACAAATCCTCGTGTGAGCACATGTAAGCCCAATGCCTGGCAAAGGGAGAAACTGGTCTTCAATCCATGTGATGCCAGACAGATACCAAAGCCTTCTAAAGTCAAGAGCTGATCAACTGTCAATTAAGTGGGATATATACTTACTTTGAATGACAAGAATTAGACTTTGCAAAGGTAGTGATTTTTATTTACAATTGCATGTATCAAGATTACAATAGAAACACTAGTGAAACCATCTGAACAAAAGCAATGATTTATTGGTAATGGCAGTAAAGGAAACACTGAGTCTCTGGCGCAATTTGAGCGACTAGCCAGGAGCTGGACATCCCACTGCAGCCGCTTGTCCAGTGTCCTTCTGCACCTTAGTGACTTTCTCCTTTTTTGCCAACTACCTAAAAAAAAAAAAAAAAAAAGTAAAAATCCAGACTTTATGTGTGCTTCACACAGATTTCTAAATACAGGTTATTGTCAAAGACACTAACATGATGTTCACCTTCCGAACCCTGAATGTTAAGCCCAAATCTTTCTGGCATGCAGTTGAACTGTTGAAGCAAACTGTGACCAGCCCCCTCCCATTCTAGACTTAAGGAATTAAAAATAGAACACATGCATCCTATTTCTGGTTTCCTATCCTGGATTAAGAAAAAGTACAGCAATTTTCAAGGTTGACAATTTAGAAAAATTAATAAAAAAAGATGTTGCTGTATGAGTGAAATATATTTGGCGTACTATTTTTAGGCAGCTAGAAATCAGATGTCGATCACAACATAATCTGAAATTTTAAAAAGTATGGTAACGTCATGTTTTTATGTTCAACATGACAGGTTTCTAGACTCATTCTTCAATACGTAGAAAGAAACCAAATTAAAGAGGACTAAATTTCCTGGTTCCTGAATTTTAAAAATCCTGGTTGGAGTAAATATAGTTCTGTAACAATGTAAAGAATAAACCTTGTTTCTACCAATCATTCCAGAAAACATGTCTATTTTAGGGTTCTGAGTTCTATGCCTGCTTTTTATCAACAATTCTAGAAAATAACTTCCGTGGGAGGGTTCGAACACTGAGTTTTAATGAAATAATTTACTTCAAAGCTATAGTCATCATGAGACAATATATTCTCAGAGCAGGAATTCCTAAACAATTAACTTTAAAGATACTACTTCAGCATATATTTGTATATAGAAAGATCTCCACGTATATATGTAAATGCAGTTTTCCTAGTTTCAAAAGGACAGTGTTTGTACCAAGCAAAACTCCTAAGGGTCATCAGCGCATGTATGGCCTAAAATAGAACACAGCTGGGTCAATGTCACTTAATGAAAGATTATAAAAACCTTTTCGACTGAATTCCCAGCCACAAAATACTAAAAATGGTTCTCCCCCTACTTCAAAGAAAACCACTTTAATATTACTGTAAGGAACTCCTCTCTCATCCAAGGAAGCCATATTAGCCCAACAAGTCAGAGGGATGCTAAACTGATATGCTCATAAAAGGAGAATGTGGATATGAGTAAGAAATTCCAGTTTTCAAAGGTTTATACAGAAAACAGTACGGATCATTATCTTGAGAACACACAAAACACACCAATATTAGATTAAGCAAAAGAAACAACCAAAACAATATTAAAAATGAGAATGGTAGCAGATGTGATACAGCAGAAGACTCAGATCTGCATACTGTTTTACAGGTTGATAACTCTCAACTTGCCGATGTGTATTCTCTGTAAAAAAGAAGAAATTCAGCATTCCAAAATGGGTCTTCTTACCCCAAAGAGAAACTTTTATTAATTCAAGTCTTTATGTCATACCCCAGACAAATAAAATTCTAGTTACAGCAAAATTAGGTGTCAAAGATATTTATTCAGTGAGTCCACTCATCTTGCACATCAGTCTTTAACTCAGTCTAACATTCAACCCACAGGCCCTGCTAAGCTGGCTAAGTAAACCTGGGAGGCAGAAACAGACACTATGCCCACCCTGAGCAGCGATCGTTTGGGGCTGATACCCCCCAATGGGAGGGGGGGGCACCACTCATTTCAACTACAGCTCCATCAGTATTTTATATTAAAATTGTTTATACTCAACCTAAATGCCCATCAGTAAACGAATGGATAGAGAAGCTGTGGTATATTCACACAATGAAATACTATGCTGCATTGAAAAACAAGGAACTCATGCAATATTATTCAAAATGGGTGACCCTGGAGGACATTATGCTGAGTGAGGTATCTCAGTCAC